ACTGAACAGGCTCAACCCTGCTTAGCTTCAGTGGGCAACCAGTCTTGGGCTGCAGGATGATATGGCTGCTTAATATAGACTACCCGCCCATGTTCTATGCCAGCCGCCAGCCGAACCTGCACAGCCGAATCATCAGAAGTTCTGCAGGTATTGTGTAGAAACAAGCGAGGATAATAGCAAAAATGGCAGATCATGGAAATAAATGTTATGTTCCAGGCTGTGCAGGGGATGTGATGTGCAGGGATGGGTTGGTGTCTGTATTCAGAAAGGCACGGAAAACAAATAACGTGCGTTCTAATAAAATAAAGCGAGCCACTAAAGGGACATGGTTAGCTGCTTGCTAGCGGTAGCCTGCTACATTGAGCACGTGTGATCGCAAATCTCGAAAGTGAAAGTAAAAAGCGATCGTACATTATGCGGTTCCCTGATCCCCGCATTTTATATACAGTATAATTACCCAATGATATAACTGAGAGAGACAGTATTGAAATATGTATTTTCCCTGTGTTTCCTTCCTGCTGTGTGAGCTACTGAAATGAGCCGCACTGTGAAACAGCCAATCAGAGCAGAGCTCAACATTGAGCCGCACTGTGAAACAGCCAATCAGAGCAGAGCCAGGTCAGAGCATGACCCTTCCAAATAAGGTAAAAACAGACCATTTCATTCTAGGGACAAATCTTAGGGTTGTAAATGGACATGTAAAACTGTTTCTGGAGATTTGTTGCCCTTACCTAAGCCACATACCTTCTATGTAGATATCGGAGAACAATTTAAAATATTGTATCAGTGCATTCTATGGCACCTTTAAACCGCATAAACACATTGCTTTACACCAAATACACAAAATAATGTTATTTTTAGCAACGTCATATGACCCCTTTAATGATAATCTGATTTTACATAATATATTCTCAGAGTAAACAATTAATTGTACTATATTTTTTTAGTAGTGCTGTCATCGTTAATGTGTTAACGCATGCGATTAAATTTACAATCCTTAACGCGTTAAAATAATTTAACGCAAAATTACAGAAGCACAATTTCTATTCTAACCCTTTAACCCAATTTTGCTACTCTGCTTGCGATCTGATCATTTTAAGGTGCTAAACTCTGGGAAAGTTTTCAGTCCACTGATCCAGTAAGCGAATTCATTCAAACAATCCATCCAAAACAGCGCTAATATGAAGGAAACCAGGCTGATTACATAAGAGATTGCAGAGATAACAGAGACTCGCGTTGCGTTTTCAGTGAATTATTCATTCTGGTGTGCTAATATGAAGGAAACCAGGCTGATTACATAAGAGATTGCAGAGAGAACAGAGACTCGCGTTGCGTTTTCAGTGAATTATTCATTCTGGTGTGTTTCGCTTTTAAACACGAGCTCTGTTATATTCTGTGATTGTCTCTGAAGAGCGCGATCCCTCACATGTCACACGCTTGTGTGAAGTACAGACTGAACGGATTGTCAACACATCCCACCGCTGTATGGCCAGATGAGACGCAAACTACGGTTTCTCGACTGGATAACTATATTTTAGTATATATTTCTATATAGTAAAGTTTTGATGGATGAAGACTGCAGTCAAGGTAAAGACGATTGCGGTGGCATACAGGAGTCGTACAGTAAGCATGCGTGAGTCCGTTTTAATAATGCGTGTATGAGTGCTCTTGACGCACTGATCGCACATTGTATTTATGCACAGGCACAGACATTTCCGTGCATTCACTTGTTTCCACACACATTCACGATAATGTTTTGATTTGTCAAGTTTATGTTGCTGTGTTTAGTTATACGGAATGGATCCGTGTACTGTAGTAGATATATGCGGTCAGCAGGTGGTTAGTTTAGTTTTTTTTTGGCATCTCCATGTGGTCCTGTTCGGTATCGCAACTTGGCTTCTCCCAAAAAATGTAAAAAAGCTCTTTGGTGTTGCACTGTACACATACTATAAAATTCAGATAATTTTTTTCTTTCATATGTGCTTAAATGGGCTCCCTATATAATTTGGTTATTTGGTGTCCTTTTGGAGTTTCTAAGTGTCCTTTTTTGGAAAGTCATCTAAATTTATCTTGAAAAAAGCTTGCAGAAAATTTTTATTTTTGAGAATCACCCTTCAATCTTTTGGATTACTTTGCCGGATATAGCAAATGATGACAAAATAAACATTTGAAACAAGATAAATGGTCTTTGCTTAATTTCATGAAGTGTGCGTTTAATCACAGAAAAAGGATGCGATTAATCAGATAAAAAATGTTAATCGATTGACAGCCCTAATTTTTAGTGTACTATATTTTTGTAATCAAAAAAATAAAATGAATTTCACAAAGGAAACAATTAAGAATGGATATATTACAATAAATGCTCTGCTAGAATGTATTTTTAATGACGTTTTTTTAAAGAAGAGCTGTAATAGAATTAAAGGGATAGTTCACCCAAAAATGAAAATTAGCCCATTATTTACTCACCCTCAAGCCATCCTAGGCGTGTATGACTTCCTTCTTTCAGATGAATCCAATCGGAGTTAAAAATTGACTTTGATCTTCCAAGCTTGTTTAATGGCAGTCAGCGGGTGTTGCAGTTCATCAGTCCAAATGAAGTGAAATAAAACACATCCATCCATAATAAAAAGTGCCGAATCGATGCGTTTTTGTAAGAAAAATATCCATATTCAAAACATAATAATCACTTTAATCTAGCCTGCCCCAACAGTTGTACATGGAAGCAGCTCCGAGAGGATGACGTAAGATGTCGGCGTTGTGCATGTGCCGGTGAGTCTCTTGAAAACCAACGTTTGTTTACAGGAGCAAAGGAAGCAAAGTTTCCTTACTTTAGCAAAGCAAAACCAGTCTCCTCTTGGCTTATGTCGAAATCCTCCGACATTCTTCTTTACAAATCCTCGGTGTGTATTTCTAATTTGTGACCGTTGATTTTAAAATAAAAAAAAATAAAAAATAAAAAACACTACAGAGACATTTTGATTTGAATTTAAAATATCTGCCCTTGCTGCACTCTCACTTGGTTAAAACAAGAAAATCTTATCTATTAAACTACAAAGACATGGATCTTTTATATTGTTAGGTCTAAACGTCAGTTTTTGTCATTATTTCTACTGTGAAAAATAATATAACTTGTCTATGGTGGAATGGGGAACATGTGGACACCTTTTATATCCACCAGACCACATGCAGGCAAGACCAATTACACAGTTCTGGCAAATCTGCTATTTAATGGCTGCCTCATGAATATCCATTAATTTAGTGAAATAATAAACTCATACAGCTACTTATAGTGTATTTTTGGGTTTTCTGATTTTATTTACTGCTGATTTAATTTACATAATACGTCATGCCTCAGTGTTTAACCAAGGCCGCTCAGAGAACCGCTATAGGACGGGGTGGCGGTGCCCAAACTGCCTGAGTGAACCAATATGCCACTCCTCCTTATAATTCTCTACTATTGGGCAACAGGAGGGGCTGTGGTGGGAAAGTGCAAAGGAAGTACAAAACATTTTTTTTGCCTGAGGAGGAAAATCGAGGAGGAGAGAAATTCCAGTCCTTCCCCCTTAAAGGAGCACTTTGTGTGTGCCAGCGCTTCCGACATGATGCAATACTGTATTCAGGTTACACGTGAAGGATATGTTAGGGATAGCGTACTACTAATCTATTAATTCTATTTATGCAGTATACAGTATGTATGTTATGCACAGTATGCATTTTCTCTGTCTAGAATAACCAAATGACCTACATGTGCCAACCCGGGAATATTGTGTGATATTCCGTATCCCATAATGCAATGCACTTAACCTTCCATTTCCAGACGAACCAGAACCAGAAATAATATCTGCCTTCTTGATTCAAGAATCAGACTCCCAAAAGTTAAGACAGTTTTACACAAAACTGGTTATGCAAACAAACTGTTGTTATATCCAAGATGATAACTGGATTCCTTGCCTAAATTTGACATGCATGTAGCATACTGCTGATTGATATGCGTAATGCTTGTATGTACAGTGGGGCAAAAAAGTAATTAGTCAGCCACCAATTGTGCAAGTTCTCCCACTTAAAAAGATGAGAGAGGCCTGTAATTTTCATCATAGGTATACCTCAACTATGAGAGACAAAATGAGAAAAAAAAAATCCAGAAAATCACATTGTAGGATTTTTAAAGAATTAATTGGTAAATTCCTCGGTAAAATAAGTATTTGGTCACCTACAAACAAGCAAGATTTCTGGCTCTCACAGACCTGTAACTTCTTATTTAAGAGGCTCCTCTGTCCTCCACACGTTACCTGTATTAATGGTATCTGTTTGAACTCGTTATCAGTATAAAAGACACCAGTCCACAACCTCAAACAGTCACACTCCAAACTCCACCATGGCCCATAATGTTTTAGGCTGTATACAGTATGTATACTGTGTAGTATGCAGTCTGCTAGTATTCCATTCTAAACATAGCTAAATTTTTCATCCATTTCGGACATCCATTTATTCAGCCATTTATCACTTTTAAATTTTAACTATTCAAAAAAAAAAAAAAGCCCTTTAAAAGCAGGCCTGAGAAAGTCATGGAAGTTATTGAATGTGTGGGACAAATTCCTAAAGTCACGGAGTATATAGAAAACAGTGAACATAGACTTTTCTATTTCTATTGCATTGCCTAAATTAAAGAAAAATGTATTTAGAAAGTGTTTTTACTTAAAATGTGCTTAATTGATAACAAAAATAGGATATTGAGGTCACAACTTTTTTTTTCCCCTCCTTGAAATTCGAAAAATCCAATCCAAAACGACCAGCAATGCTGTCAGTTGCCTAGCGTGTGTATTGCTATAGTGTTAATCTCTTTGTAATGAGTGTTTCTCAGTCCGCATTGTGAATTATGATGGTGTTGTGTGTGATTCTCAAGGCCTAGTATGTCAGGACTTCACCTCGTGAAGCAGGGCAGGGACCGCAGACGCATTGACCTGCAGAGGGACTTTACTGTTGCTTCCCCCGCTGAGTTTGTCACCCGCTTTGGTGGCAACAAAGTCATTGAGAAGGTAAGATTAACATCTGATATTCTATGACATCTGCGTGATGCAGTGTTATTAGTGTCATAGAGATACTATTATAGCTTTATATTGATTACATTTTATTTTTATATTTTAAATTTATTGAATTAAGATGTTTTTAAATTGAAAATTGAAAATTTGTTGTTTTGTCATTTTTAATGTTAATAATGTTTTAATGTCTATACAGTTTTATTATTTTTTCCAACTAGTTTACAATTAGTAACTAGTTGAAATTAGTGTTAATTTTGTCAGCTATTTTTAATTTAGTCTTAGTCCTGTGTCAAATGTAACCTTTTAGTTTTTATCAGATTTAGTCAACTTGTCCCTTTTTTAGCTTTAGTCAGGTTTTAGTCGACTAAATGTCTGAGAGTTTTAGTCAGTGGAAACTTACACATTTTCGTCTTACTGTATAATGGTTAAAATGATGGGGGAAAAAAATATTATTTTGTTCAATTTTAATTGCAATGATTGTTGTCATTTGGAAAATGTATTTTTACATTTCATCAGATGTTGCTCTTTCACCAATAAGCAAAATCAATAGAAAATCGACTTGTATGCATGGCTTATTTCACCTCATCTAACGTTAGTGTACAGATTTATAACAGGATATCAATTAGAGGCTAAATAAACACCAAAGACTTCAGATATACACTCGCCCTGTCTACGTTATGAAAACTGGCGTAACAGAAACCTAGTCTCAAATGTTATAACAGAGAAATTCCTAATAGTAATTCCAATAATTCCAAATTGCATTAAAGGGGTCATATGATGCTGCTAAAAAGAACATTATTTTGTGTATTTGGTGTAATGAAATGTGTTTATGCGGTTTAAAGTAAAAAAAAAAACACATTATTTTCCACATACTTTACATTATTGTTTCTCCTCTGTGCCCCGCCTTTTTGAAACGCGTCGATTTTTACAAAGCTCATCGGTCTGAAAAAGCGAGGTGTGCTGTGATGCTGTGATTATCCAGTGCGTTGTGTTTGGCCGAATACCTCAAGCGTGAGACGGAAATGTTACGCCCCTCACATACTGTTATACTGTTGTCAGGCCGGAGCGACGAGACATAAACATTAAAACCCATTACAAATGAGGCATTTGTTGCATCCAGTGGGGACACAATTACTGATTATAATGACTTATACTGTCTTTTTACGCGTTGCATTGCGTTGCATTGCATCGTGCCGCGTAAACATAAAACTCTGTCTGCATTTGTGAACGGAGAAATGACAAACAACAAGTGCTACTCTACTGCCCAAAACTTGCGTTTGATTCATCAGTGGCAACGAAAAACACAGCGGCCTACCGTGAGGGGAAGCCCCAGCTTAGCGTGTGCTGAGGCCGGGATAGAGTGAGCTGAGGCGGGCTGGACTCCGCTTTGTCCACGGTGAAAGTTGATGTATTCCCTCAGCGACCTGCACAGATCAGCTCCAGGCATTACAAAGCGGATATCGTCCTCTTTTGGAAGACCAAACAAAGTAGTTTCGCTTTCACAACTGTAGGAAACTTTTTCCTCGTCGAAGCAGAAAACCAGGAGACGTTGGGATATCTTTCATTCAGAAGTCACTCTTTATTGAGGACTCGCTGTGCGTCGCTGCAGTCATCCAAGTCTGACTATAGCTCAGCACAGTAGAGTTTATATACATTTTAAGGGGGCGGGATTCATTCAGTAGAAGTGGTGACAATCTAAACAAAGCATGCAAATGCAATACAGGAATCAGCCCGTTACCGGAATTTCTCCAGCCCTGATCTCATCAGCATAACAGTGTCATTTAAATGCATAGGTGCTAATCCAATCAGCATAACTACTCAAAGACTGGGGCAGAGGCACCAAGAGCCATTACAAACAAAAGGTGACTTTCTCAGTAATTTGGTTAATTTGACTAACAATAAGAGAAACCGGAACAGACAGGAACCTCTTGCTACACTTTAAGATAATCATTTGTCTGATGTAATTTACCTTAAATGCTAAATACAATGTACTTCACCTTAGTTTTTCATGTGATGCTATGTCAGAACATAGGATCAGCATATTTAAACAGATTCTTCAATTTGTAATCCCACAATATCATGTCTTAGGCTAGTTGGTAATAATAATAATAATAATTCATTACATTTATATAGCACTTTTCTGTTTTCCTAAGCACTCAAAGCGCTCTACATTGGGGTATCTCCTCGTCCACCACCAGTGTGCAGCATCCACCTGGATGATGCGACGGCAGCCATAGAACGCCCACCACACACCGTCTTATTGGTGGAAAGGAGACAGAGTGATGAAGCCAATCAGTAGATATGGGGATTGTTAGGAGGCCATGATGATCAGAGGCCAATGGGCAAATCTGGCCAGGATGCCAAGGTCACACCTCTACTCTTTTCAAAAGACATCCTGGGATTTTTAATGACCACAGAGAGTCAGGACCTTGGTTTAATATCTCATCCGAAGGACGGTGCTTTTTGACAATATAGTGTCCCCGTCACTATACTGGGGCGTTAGGACCCACACAGACCCCAGGGTGAGCACCCCCTGCTTGGCCTCACTAACACCTCTTCCAGCAGCAACCTAGTTTTCCCAGGAGGTCTCCCATCCAGGTACTGACCAGGCTCAACCCTGCTTAGCTTCAGTGGGCAACCAGTCTTGGGCTGCAGGGTGATATGGCTGCTGGCTGGTAGACTTGGCTTGTGAAATAGATTAGTGAGACTTGCATAATAGGACTAGCCCTGTTGAAAAAACCAGCATATGCTGGTTAGATATGTTTTGCCTATGTTTAGGTATGTTTTGAAGCATGGCTGCTGGTTTGAGCTGGTTTAAGCTGGTC